AAACTGTTTTGAGTGACCATCCTTAATTGACGTATGGGGATAGTTGAACTGAACATTCCGGAGCATTGGAGTAGAGACCTGGTTGTAGAATTTCTATAATTCATAAAAAAAGAGAGAGAAATTATTCTTTTCATGCCACTTTATAGGTCTAAAGCATTTTCCTCTGAGATTCTTCAAATGCTTAACAGATATCTCTTATTTTCACAGGATCTCTGTGGAAAGCTATGGGACAAGAAAAATTCTCATAATTATCAGACGAACTGAGACATAGAGAAGATAAAGACTGTTAAGAATATTATAATTGACTTAATAAGAACCCAGAATTTTTTTTTATCATGACCAGCATGAATAGCTAATGAACACTCAGAATCAGAAAAGCCAGCTAGATTGATATTCCCCAAATTAGAACTTATCCCTATCTGTTCCCAAGTGTAAATACGGTGCCCACCATTGATAGATGATAACTGGTACTGACAGAGAGAGGGGTAAAATATGTTCTCCATATCTTTTTCTTGTCCATTTAGTCAAAGTAAACATGTAAATCATATTCTTTATATTTAAGGAAATTTATAGGCTACAGCTTGATCTGTGTTGCATTATAAAAAGTTGATATCTAAGATGCCAAGGTACTTTAAATGAAAGACATGGTCAAGCTGATAAAAAGGACGAACTGCTTGGTGGGACTGTAAAGCCATAAGAAGCTCTGTTGGTGCCTTGGAAAACTTGTTCAGAAAGTAGGGAAGTGACCATCACATTACTGCCTCTCATCTCGCTGTTAATGCAGGTGTATAGTAGAATGGAGTGCCTGAGAAAGGCATGAACACTTTATTCTTCCAACTAAGGATAGCTGAAATGACAATTTTCACTTTAGTTTGGCCATTTTTTTTTAGGTATCCGATATTACTAACTGAATGATTTTTGAGTGAAGAGAAAAGAAAGGAACAGAAAAAAATGTTACCTTGAGCTGTAAAGATGTGTCCTGGTTTCCATAAATCCTTTGAGCAATTCCTCGGTTGTCAATGGATAGTCTCTTCAGAAAATCATAATCAACATCAAACCCTATCCCCAAACTGAACAAGGATATGTTGTCTCGTATGTTCTGCTTTACATTTTTCTGAATTTTTGACAACTTTAGTTCACCTAAAGTTGATGATAAAAGAAACGAGGAGGCAATGTTATACAGTTTTTGAAAAATCCATGGAGAACAGTTTAACAAAATTTGTCAAAATTAAAAACTCACTCTTTGATCCAGTGACTCAATTACTAGAAATTTTTCTTACAGATGTGTTCATACATGTTGAAATGAAGTTATGGGCAATAGTACATCCTCTATAATAAAAGGCTAATATGCAAATTGACTGAATGGCAGAATGACCAGTCGCTATGATGTGCACTGACCACCAGGGGGCAGACACTCAATGCAGGAGCTGCCCCCTGGTAGTCAGTGCACTCCCACAGTGGGAGTGCCGCTCAGCCAGAAGCCCTGAGCCAGGTTCATGGCTGGCGAGAACAGTGGTGGTGGCAGGAGCCTCTTCCACCTTAAGGCAGTGCTAAGGATGTCTGACTGCCAGCTTAGGCCCACTCGGACATCCCCTGAGGGCTCCCAGACTGAGAGAGGGTGCAAGCCAGCCTGAGGGACCCCCCTACCCCCAGTGCACTAATTTCATGCACCAGGCGTCTAGTGGTAACGTAATTGGGAATAGCCACACATTAGAAACAAATGTACACCAAAAGGGAGATTAGTTAAATTATAGTACATTCGCCTGGCCTGTGTGGCTAAGTGGTTGCGTGTCAACCCATGAACCAAGCCCAGGTTGTGGGCTTATCTCCAGTAGGAGGCATGCAGGAGGCAGCCAATCAATGTTTCTATCTCCCTGTTCTTCTCTCTTCTTCTCTTTCATAATCAATACAAATATACTTTTAAAAAATGATGGTATATTCAAATTGTGAAATACTGTATAGTTATTAAAAAGAACCAGGCAACTATATATTTACTTGGAATAATCTTAAAGACACATTTTAAAGGGAAAAACAATAATAATTGATATATGTAGGATGTATTTATATATATGCATGCACGTGTGTATGTATATGTGTGCATGTATTCAAATATATGTGTATATGTATGTATATGTAGTATGCAGACATGCATAGGATATCTCTGGAAGGATACACAAGAAATTGGTAATGAGTGGCTGCCTCTAGGGACAGGAACTGGAAAGATGAGGGACAGGAGTAAGAAACCAACTTAATTTTTTACTTTACTGCTTTTTCTTCCTTATGATTTTATTCTAAAGTTCAATTTTCAAGTAATCTGATCCAAGGTGGAGAAAAAAACAATGAATCTGCAACAAATACATAACAACTGCCATTCTAGTTTCACCATTAATAAAACGGCTGCTCTTTGTCTTTCTAAAGCTCAGGATGCCATCATCATGATCATGTCACCAGTTTTCCTCCCACTGAGCTGTCAGGAACAGGTTAGACACAGTCCTTGTCCACATAACAGACAGAAACACAATTAAGCATTCACCCTTCCTTATATTTGTCAGTGTAAAGAGACAAAACAAATAATAATACATGATAGAAGCAGAGAGATGTTGAGCTATTTTGTGAATACGAAAAATGGTCAACATACAGGATGTATTGGACAGAAGTAATTTCTCTGGTTGCAGTGAGGGGCTGGGGGAAGTGTGGAGAACAATAAAAATACATCACTGAGGACTCCAGAGGTACAATTGGAGACCTGGATCAATCCTCACCACACATATGCCCATTCACCATCTCCCATACCTTAAGTTGAGGAAATAAATGCATTTCACTAGTATGTACTGTATTAGCAATCATCATAGCACACAATTACAATAAAAATTAAAGTTTCCCCACATTACAGAGGTGACACCGAGGCATTCAAGGACATCACTGAAAAATGTCCAGGCACTGGTCTAAACAGGATGAGTGTTTCAGGGTCAAAAGAAGTCTTTTTTCATAGAAGCACGGGTTTAAAATCATTTAAAAAGTCAGTTTAATATCTAAATGCAATTAGATTTCCCACCGTAAATGAATCACATTCCCAAGAAATGGCAGCAGAAATATTGGTACTAGAAAATTGAAGTACTACTTGCCTACTGTTGGATCGCCGTCAGAAACCAAAATGATCAGAGAGACTGAGTTGGGGTCCAGCATTCCCATGTTATTGGCTTCATTCAAAATAAAGATGGCCCGCAGGAGTGCCTCGTTGATATTTGTGCCTGATAAAGTAATATAAAGTAATATAACAATGTTCTGTTATATACTCTTTCTTTGCACAGAAGCCATCACATTTTGGGTTCAGGTTCATTTGTCTGGTAACTACTCAAGAATAATTTATTCGGTACCCAAATCATTTGATTGCTTTCCAAGTGACACCAATTTTGCCCAGGCTGGTAAAGGCCCCCCTGTGGAGTAAATTATTCCCTTTGTAGTGTAAACTACTTCCTTAGAGATGAGTTGGCCCTTTCAAAGCATTCTGTCATTTTGTTAAACATAAAATTGAAGGTACCTAACCCAGCCTTGTTGGTAGACTTGAACACTCCTCCGAAGGCAGTTACATTTTAGGCTTTGCAAGCAATGAGAAGGCAAGTGTCATTTACTGACACTCTTTTCTGAGGAAGGTTAGAATAATTAAAAACTTGTGTGGGATGGGTTATGTATTGTACTTTTGCAACGAACTTAGTATTCATCATTTAGTAATAAATGTATTATTTAAGACAGACCATTGCAGATGGGGCAAAGAACACTAGTAGGAAATAATATTTCTTCAGTGAGTCAAGATTCAAATCCTATAGGTGTTTCTCACTGGGCTTCAGGTTAAACCCACTTACCTCCATTAGGCTGGATTTTCTCAATATACTTCTTGGCATCTGCAACTTGTGTCGTAGTAGCTGAGACTAAATCATTTCTCCAGGTTCGCACATTGTGGTTGAAATCAACCACAGAGAATTGGTCATCAGTTCTCAGGTCATCCAATATGGTTTTCATTGCTTCCACTGTCTATTTCAAGAGAGAGAAGAGAAGGGTCACATTAAATAAGCTCTGAGCCTGAGAAGAGAGGGAAGACCAAGAATCCATCCTAGTCATCTTTCAAGTACTGACGCAAGCTATAATTCTTATAGGAAGCCTCTTACAGCCACCTCAACACTTACGCTGAGCATGGGTCATCTGCATTTTGAGACTTAAACTTTTACTGACTTATTTTGTTTCGAAGGATCACAAACTTCAGGTTCCGCCTTAGTGGTGCCTGAAAATCAAATGTATTTCACAAGTCCACCGACTCACCCACTCTCTTAAACTACTGCTTCTCATCTTTCTCTTCAAACCATCAAAACCTCCCTGCAAATGACACTTCTGATTCCTAAAACACTCTTTTTTTTAAAAGAAACTTTTCCCCCCACAACAACACCATTGAAAATATTTTTAAATGTACTTATTATGTTTATTGCTTATTCTCTACCCCCTTCCTCCAGAACATAAGTTCTGTAAGCTCCAGGAGAGTAAGGATGATTTCTTAAAAATGTTTTTGGTTGATTCTGTTACTGGTGAACTAAGTGCCTGTCATGTATTGGATACTTAATTAATATTTGTTAAATGAATGGAGGAAGGAAGGAAGCAATGAATAAACTGCTATGTTAGGGCAGTAGCTCTCAACTGAGGGGAATTTCCCCACCAGGGGACACTTGGCAATGTCTGAAGACACGTTGATTGTCATAGCTGAAGGGTTGGTGCTACTGGCAATTAGTGGGCAGAGGCCCTGGATGCTAAACATCCTGCAATGTACAGGGTGGCCACACCAGCAAAGAATTATCCAATCCAAAGGGTCAATAATGCCATTGATGAGAAACCTGGTGTTGGAGTATGAGCAAGGGAGGTGGGGCGGGGCATGAATTTCCCTTCTTTTGGATGCCAGAAGAGTAGTGAACACTTGGATGGTCAGAAATGGTTATTGAATGAATGAATTAATTAATGAATAGACGGTAAGTTGTTCAACTTGGTTAGATGAATGGATTGATGAGTAAAATAAGAAACTTCCTTGTTTGTTCTTTAGAATTACATCTACCCATTTAATGCTAAATTAGTCTATGTTGAGCTCTAAGCAGGAAGGCACGAGACAGGTGGCTTCCCTCAAAGCATGACAATGTAATTAGAGAAGATAAGTACAGAATGATTTCAAAGTAATTCATGAACAATGGCAAGATATTAAAGTAAAATGTTATGCAGAGAACCAGAAGACTATGAAGCAGAAGTGTTATCAAGGAGAAGAGGTTATACTGAGATAAAATATTTCAAAAAGGTGAGTTCCGAGATAAATTTCTGTTCTTCACAAGCCATCCAGTCTGTGGCACTTTGTTAGGGCAGCCCAAGCCATCTAAGACAAACCCTGGGGGTAAGGTGCATTGGATGATTGTGTTGTTGAGGGAGGGGGTGGGGGGTTCAAAGAAGGTAGAGAATCCCAGGTACCAAGCCAACAAGGGGTACTTACTTGTTTCATTTTTACTCCCCACATTGAGCCGCTGACATCAATGACAAAGAGGATGTTTTTGGGAATTGGGTCCATGTTTTCAGGAGCAAAAAAGTGGACAAAATATCCATTAAATACCTGAAAGACAGAACATTACTAAACCATTACCAATGTTTGGAATATAGGAGGATGGGGATCTGGGGACGAGAGGAGAGGTGAGTCATGGTGAGCAGGATGCATGACAGTTGTAAAGAAGAGAACAGAGGTGGCAGCTTGGTGTCCATCCGTCTCTCCCTTCTTCTTGTTCCCTCCTTCCTTTCCTGTGAAGGCCCAAGCCCTCTTAGCAGGTTACCTCCGCAGGGTGTTTCACTTCTCTCTCTACTCCACCCAGTCTTTGTTGATAGCCTCTCCAGGCACCCTGCTAGCCAACAGGGAATGACAGAGCTACCCTCCTCCTGAGCTCACAGGCCAGTGGAGGAACCAGACAAGTGAAGAGGCAGTTAGCAGCTCAGGGTGTTAAGTGCTACCATCAGGAAAATGAAGGTTCCAAGAATGCCCAGTGGAGAAGCATCTAATTCAGAAAGGGGGGTCTTTCCCAAAGACATGGTGTCTACACTGGACTTGGGTGTGAGTTTGGGAGTTAGCCTGCCAGCATAGGGGTGGGTAGGGGTGTAGTGGAGAGTTCCAGACAGTGCAGTGACTCTGAGTGAATAGGCACCTTTGGGCTCTGTAAATGGTTCAGCAAAATGAGACCACAGAATTCAAGCATCTAGGGCAGTGATTGGAAAACTCATTAGTCAACAGAGCCAAATATCAACAGTACACTGATTGAAATTTCTTTTGAGAGCCAAATTTTTTAAACTTAAACTATATAGGTAGGTACATTGTTATTAACTTAATTAGGGTACTCCTAAACTGGCCTTTGCTAAAAACGTCCTCAATCTGATTGAGGTAAGTTCTCTGGGGTCGATGCCTTCCAAGTCTCCCATCCACACTCATCTTGTATACTTGTTTATCCTATCTCCTTTCATTCATCCTCTCTATATGTCCAAACCATCTCAACATACCTTTCTCAGTCTTCGACACTACATCTTCTTTCACTCTACAACGTTCCCTAAAATGAACTTAATAAACTTTACTTAAAGTTTTAAGTCAGCTTCGCACTGTACATGTGTGCCCGCACGTGGCATTTTGTGGAAGAGCCACACTCAAGAGGCCAAAGAGCCGCATGTGGCTCGCGAGCCGCGATTTGCCGACCACTGATCTAGGGAGTTAGGATGGATAGTCAGCAGGGCAGATCTGAAAGGACCTTTATGGGCGCTCTAAGGAGTTTGGATTGTTCTTGAGGTGAATGGGAGGCCACTCTGGCTGGATGCCTGATTACCTCTTAGTCTTCGGCTGCAGGTCATAAAGATTGGTTCCCCTCATTCTCTTTCTACTGCCCTCTGGTTGCTTCTACCAGAATCTTACAGGTTCCCCTGCAGGGTGTGTAGCTGTGGATATTCCTACCTCCCTGTTCCTGGAGAAGCACAAGTTTTGGATACTGTCCAAGGGCTATACTTTAGCACAAGGGAAGTACAAACACACATCTAAGACATGACAAAAGGAAAAGGAAAATTTTCATTGATCCTGGACTTCACCACTGGCCCTGATATTTCGCTAGGCTTTGGTTGTGCCTTCCTTCCAGCCCCTGAACTCTGTGCTTTCTTTGATAGTCTAGTTGAAAAGAGCCTTGAAAGTTTATGCAAAATTCCCATTTCGTTATTTTCTATTATCCTTCTTATGAGGCCTAAAAGTACCTTTCTGGGACAAGGACATGAGACCCAGTGACCCTTTAGTCAGGTTTCTTGATGTGAAGAGATAATGCTTAGATATGATTTTAGTCCCTTCTCTGCAGCTCTGACATTGCCTTGGCAGCTAGCAGCTACCCAGAGGCCAGGGGGTTTGCTCAGCGAGAGGTTCCTCTTTGGCCTCAGTGAGGTGGCTCTCTTAGAGCCTGTGTTCACCCACCTCAAGTTCCCCGGCACTCTCCTCTCTCTTCACGTCATATACCACCACCAGCTCTCCATCCACCGCAGTCTCGGAGCAGTTAGAGCATTTCCTTTGTTGTGCTACTGTGGGCTTGAAGGACACATGGGCCTAGAAAGAACAGTAATGTCAGAGCCAGGTCTCAGTCCCCATCCCTCTGCAGGCCAGAGGTTGACAGCTGCATCTTCTTGTGCCCACAAGTAAAGAGGCCCAATGGACGTTCTGTACCCCAGCAGCATCAGTACTACTGTTACTGATGGAAGTACTACTGTTACTGATGGAAGTAGTACTGTTACTAATGGAAGTAGTACTGTTACTGATGGAAGAGACAGTGCCAAGGCATGTGAGGGGAGTCTCTGGCAGCCTGTTGACCAGGTTTTCAGGCCTTTTTTTTTTTAGGTTAGGGAGAGTGTGAACGCAGTCCCCCTTTACCACAAATTATGCAGCCAGGTTTCCCACATTTGGGAAAATGACAAGGGTCAGCATACCTGTAATGTAATGGTAATCCTTGATTTTCAGGCCTTTTGAAAAATGTAATTAATTTTTAAAATTGTTGACAGTATTGCAGATGTCCCCCATTCTCCTCCTCTCCCCATCCTCCACTCAGCCCCTACTTCACCCCAGTCCTTCACCACACTATTGTCTTCATTTGTTCTTTGCCTAATCTCTTCCTGCTCCACCCCACCCCAGCCCCCTTCCCCTCTGGCCTTCTTGAAGAGATTCGAAGAATCCATCCATTCCCCCATGAAAGAAATAGCTACCAGCTCTAGTTCTGAAAGGTTCTTAGGGGAATTTAACTCCTCCATAGTTGGTTATTATTGGCCATTGAGCTGAATATCTCTTGCTGGGATTAATGTAAATCCACCAAATGTTATGTGAAAGCTGTCTTAGGGGAAATGAGACTCCAAAAAGACAGTCACTGGTCAAAATGCAATGAAACCATTGGAAGTTGTTTTTAACACCCGTGGAAGACCCTAGACTTTGCTCTGGATCACTGCTCAACACCTCAGCTCAATACCTGACTACTTTTCTATTCCCCAGGGCACATGAGGAGGGCAGACCTCATGTCTGGAGGCCACTTGGACTCTGCAACATGCAGTGCTTGTGATTACCTTCTGGTCTCTTTTAGAGATGACTGGCACACCATCGAAATGGCCATCGGATGTGTCAGGAACATGAAGAAATTTCAACCCCTGAGGTTCAATAATCCACACATCTACCTAGAGATAGCAAAGAAAATTACTCAATGCATGAAAACATCTTTCAAGGTTTTTTGTGCTAGAAGTGCAATTGCTAAGTCCTCTGCTGGTTTTCTCTTCTTCAAGTTTTCCCAAGATGACCTGGCATAGTCCCATCATCACTTCTGCCATGTTCTTTAAATTCTCTGGGAGATAATGCATTTTACCATAGAGGCTGAAGTCCCTTCAGGCAACGGAGTGCTCACCTTCTATTGCTTCATTTCTCTGGGATTAATTCATTCTATTCTATTCTATTCTATTCTATTCTATTCTATTCTATTTATAAGAGAATTCATGTTGTTAGGACAAGAAAAAAATGAAAGGGAAGCCATTGTTAAATGATTCTGCATTTCCTCTATAGATCTGTCAGTAATAGATAATTTTCCCCACATCCTGGGCTTTTTTATTCCTTTTCTATCTTCTTGTTTTGAGCAGAGATAATAGTAGGGAAGAATCCCCCTTGGTGATCCTTGGCAAAACCATAGTCATAGCTGCCATTTCTCTATGTATACTTTAAGTGCTTTGCTGAGCAATTCACACGTATAAGCTCATTTAACTCTCACCAATGTTATTATTATCTGTTATTGTTCTTACTTTTTATTTCTCATTTTACAAATGAAGAAAAAGAGATTCAGAGTGACCTAGCTAGTAAGTGGCTGAGCCACACTTCAAACCCAGGGCCGAGTTCCTCAGGCTTTGTTCACAGCTTTTCAGTTGATATTGTCATACTGTTCATTAGCCTGATGACAAAATATGTGATAGTACCCTTTTCACATGTGAAAACATGGGCACTCAGGATAACTTGTCCCATGTCAGAAGGCCAGTATAGCGGGTTGAATGACAGTCCCCCAAAAGGTATGTTTACATCAAGTCCCTGGAACTTTTGGGTGTTATCTCATTTGGAAAAAGGTAATAGATGCAGCTAAAAATCTTTTGTTGTTATTGTTATTGTTGTTAATCCTTCCCCAAGGATATTTTTTCCATTGATTTTTTTTTTTTTGAGAGGATGGAAAGGAGTGGAAGAGACACAGAAAGGGAAACATCAAAGATCCATCAACTGGTTGTCTCTGGGGCCAAGGATTGAGCCTGAAACTGAGGTATGTGCTCTTGACTGGAAGTGAACCTGTCATCCTTCAGTCACAAGCTGATACTCTAACCACTGAGCACCCAGCTGGAGCAAGAATCTTGAGATGAAATCATCCTGTACTATGCAGTGTTTCCTAAATCCAATGACAACTGTTCTTATAAGAGAAAAGGCAGAGTGAGATTTGGGACATGCAGAGGAGGTAATGATTGGAGTGATGTGGCCACAAGGCCAGATGTCAAACAATGCCAGCAGCTGCCAGACATGGGGGGAAAAGCAAAGAATAGACTTTCTCCTAGAGTCTGTGGGAGTGCTGCCCTGCCAACAACTTGATTTCAGACTTCTGTTCTCCAGAACTGTGAGAGAATAAATTTTTGTGGTTTTAAACCCCCAGGTTGTGGTAATTTGTTACAGTAGCGCTAGGAAACTGACATAGCAAATAAGAAATCAAGCTGACATTGAAATCAGTAAGGAAGTGGCCTGGTGAACTCCAAACTCATAACCTTTTCAGTACACCAAACTGTCTTGCAGAGTTGAGTGGCATCAAACACCATAAAGGGTGGCGAACAATAGAACCATAGGAGGATGACGCCACTGCACACACTGCAAATCCACACTTACCTCCAAGTGTTTGGCCAGTCGTCCTGGATTCAGATGAAGTCTGTGTTCATAGGACCCCAGCTTCCTCCACTTCACTTCCTGGTAATGAAGTTCAAACTGCACCTTTGCTCCAGGTCGGATGTTCACTTCGGTTTTAAAGTTCTCCATATCAAGAACCCTGCTCCTGAAGATGTGAGCCCCTGATGTAAGTTATCACATGCATGACCAAGCGCAAGACCCAGAATCTAGGCAGAGGGTAGTCGAATGGCTCAACTGTTCATGAAAACTAATAGTATATTAAAACCTCCATACAAATTCATTTCCATTAACACTTTCAGTCTCCTCTCTTACCTGATCTTTTCTTCTAGAGCAGTGGTTCTCAACCTTCTGGCCCTTTAAATACAGTTCCTCATGTTGTGGCCCAACCATACAATTATTTTCGTTGCTACTTCATCACTGTAATGTTGCTACTGTTATGAATCGTAATGCAAATATCTGATATGCAGGATGGTCTTAGGCGACCCCTGTGAAAGGGTCATTTGACCGCCAAAGGGCAAGTTGCTCAGAGTTACTCAACTGGTGAGTGGGGAGAAAAGAGTTGAAGTCAGGCAGTCTGGGATCCTCTGTTAGATTTTCTTCCCCATTTTTTTTGTAAGATGAGTAAAAGAGAAGACAGAAGTGGCATCTGACTTCACTTATTGCTGTCTTGTCAATAATACATTAAGCAAGAGAATTGATCATACAATCATATCAATTTGTCAGTCCCTAAACTCATCTTTTTCATTAAAACAGATCCCAACAACTGAATTTCTATCTCTTTTTACTCTCTGTTGAAGACACCACTATCTTTTTAGTAACATATATTCAAAATATCTGACACTCCACACTCCATGCCTAGCTGCCAACTTCTTTTTCATCTTTCAGACTTATCTAAAGAATCACCTCTCCTGTGAATCTCCTCTCCCCAGGGAAGTTGAGCTTTCCTAATACTTTTGGTCTTCTCATAGCCCCATTTCTCCTGGATCCAAAAAACTGGTGTTTATGTTAGAATTACCCTGTGGATCCTGCATGAACCCTAAGAGATTCAGGTTCAGTGTGTCTGTCCCCAAATACACTTTCATTTCTTTCCTCTCTTCCTGCCCAGCCCCTTGGACATTCATTTCTGGAACCCAGACCTGTAACTGGTACAATGTACCTGCTCAATAACTAAAGGAATGAAAAAAAAAAGGGCTCAGATCAAGTTGATACTAGAGATTTTCAGAAAAATAACTTCAGAGTATATGTCAGTACTTGCCTCACTCAATCATATGTTTTAGCTTCAATGTCACAATATTAATTACTCATAAGAATGACCTAAATTCAGTATGGAACAATGCCATTATATTCTACTAGAAGCCCAGTACACGAATTTGTGCACAGGTGGGGTCCAGCGGTCCACCCCAATCAGGGCTTGGGGGAGGGGTCATGGTGGTTTGCCAGATGGCCCCGCCCCCTGGTCAAACTCCTGGTAGAACTCCCAGTTAAGGTGACAATTTGCATATTAGCCTTTTATTATATAGGATATGTAATAGCCCCTTAAAATGATATATATTATATATATGAGAGCCACCTCTATACTATAGGTTCCTTGGCTGTCTCCTCCGCTAGCTGCAGTGTTTGCTGTGGAGTTGTCGCCTTTTGACAGAACTGGGTACAGAGCTCAATGAACTTTCATTGAATGAATAAAGGAATGAATGAAATGAAAATAATTTTAAATAAAGGTAAATTTGAGGATGTAGAAGAGATGGAGGAGATGAAGGAAAAGTGGATGGCAGGATCTGGCAGATTAGATAGGCAGTGTGAGAAGTGACTGGTTGAAAAGTCCTTTGAAGTTTCTGGCTTGAGAGGCTCCCTTTTTGAGGGTGAAAGCCTTACTCCATAAAAATAAGGCAGAATAAATAATTAAAACACATTCCAAACCTTTATTTCTGAATACAATTGACCCTTGAACAATGCAGGGGGTTAGAAGTAGAAAATCAGCATGTGACTTTTGACTCTATAGTCAGCCCTTCCTATTCATGGGTTTTGCAACCACAGATTCAACCAACTGTGCATGGAAAACAGTATATTTGGGAATCCTCAGTTGGGAATGCAAAAATATTGTTTCTACTCTAGGTTGGTTGAATACATGAATGCAAAGGGCAGGCTGTATCTATTTTTTTTTTTTTAAATCCTGGTGTAAGTGCACCCAAGCAGTTTAAATTGTGTTGTTCAAGGGTCAATTCTACATGGTAAGTGTTGTCACCAGATCACCAGTACTTCTGTAGTTTCTCTACACCAAGCATGTCAAACTCACGGCCTGTGGGCCGCATGAGGTCCACAACAAATATTTTTGCGGCCCAACCAATATAACGGTATGTAAGAAACGTTTTGATGTAGTCCCATTTGTTCATTTTCTCTTTAGTTTCAAGTGCCTTAGGAGCTGTATCAGTGAAGAAATTGCTTCGGCATATGTCTGAGATTTTGTTGCCTTTGGATTCTTCGAGAATTTTTATGGTTTCCTGAAATTTCGTATCTTAATTTTTACAATATCCTGTTATACATAATTATTAATAACAAACTACAATGTTTGCTAATGACTGATTATTATAATCTTGTTGCATTCATTTTCCTTATGCGCCTTACATGCCTTATGCGCAGGCACACCATTTCTCTCCACTAATACTATCAGCAAATATGTTAGCAGAAAATTGCCACGTCATTAGTCTTGGACTGACTTGTTTGGTGTTGCAACAGGAAACACTTTGCTTTTGGAGAACAAGAAAATTAGGTTTACTTGTGTTCCACTTACTAATTAGTGCAGTTATTCGGTGTCTGGTAAGTTAATGTTCAAAAAATATATTAATTTTTAATAAAATGGTCTATTTTGTGTTAATGATTACTCATTTATTTCAGCTCTTTGTATTCAGCATGTCTCTATTGAAATAAACCTACATTTCTATGAAAATTGAAACTTTTGGTTTTTTTTTTGTGGCCCACATAAACTTAAACCTTGTTTATTTGGCCCATGTTAGCCTTTGAGTTTGACATGCTTCCTCTATAGACTCTTTTAGCAAATCAACATTAGCTACAGAACATCCAACTGCAACTTATGTAAGGATAGCTCATTTGCTGAAGAGAGGCCTTAGGGAATAGAAACTGGAGCACCTAACTCTTCCATCTGACTACAAGGCTGTGTGCTCTTGAAGAAGGGACTGGGGGGACAGTAGTGGGATGGGGGCGCGGGCCTTACCTCACCAATCCGGTGCTTTTGTCTTTTGCTCTTGCCTGTGAGTAGAGGGCTCTACCCACAGTTTTCTCCTTAATGGAACTAGTGAATGTAGTGCCGTCTACACTCCTAGAAAATGACAGAAAGCCACCAGTTGGTCTGAATATAAAGCAAACAAAAATAGCAAAACTAACAACAACAACAACAACAAAACAAGCAAACGTGCCAACAAGGTGGATTTATTGAATGGGGGCAATGATCATTTTGTACCTGGAAAAAAAGAAGAGAGACATTTACATATTTCATACACAGGAGTCTCTTCATCTGACAGTGCGATTTAAGAGGGACATGTAGTCTCCCATCATCCTAAAAGCTTTCCCTTACTACTGTTGCTTATGTTAAAAATGTTCCTTATTTTCAAAATTTACCCTGCAGATAAGGTATTGTTCTTATTGGGTAACCTTTTAAAAAATTTAAAACTTTTTTAAATAGTTGACATTCAATATTATTTTATAATAGTTTCTTTCAGGTATACATTTATATCATTTATATAATTTTTAGTGATGGAACATTTAGATAATTTATGAAGTGATCCTCCTATAAGTCTAGTACCCACCTGGCACCATATATAGATATTACTATATCATTGACTATATTCCCTATGCTGTACTTTACATTCCATGACTCTTTTATAACTACCAATTTGTATTTCTCAATTCCTTCACCTTTTTGCCTAGCCTCCTAAATCCCCTCCCCTCTGGCAATCATCAGTCTGCTCTCTACATCTATAAGTGTGTTACAATTTTGTTTGTTCATTTATTTTGCTCTTTAGATTCCACATGTAAGTAAAATCATATTTGTTTTTCTCTGTCTTATTTCACTTAGCATAATACTCTCTAGGTTCATCTATGTTGTTGCAAAATGTAAGATTTCATTCTTTTTTATGGCTGAGTAATATTCTATCATTTACATGTACTACATTTTCTTTATTCACTCATCTATTGATTCGCACTTAGGTTGCTTTGGGTGTCCTGTCTGAATCACAAACATGCTTAGAAGAGGTAACTGATAAGTCATGAGTTAATCTGGCTTATATTTGGTTCATAAGATCAATCTTCTATGAGTTCAGGGTCTGCCATAGCTTGCAAGCATTTTGCTCTTCTGCAAGGGTGACAGAGAATAAAGAAAGCTGGAGAAAGGTGCTGGTGAATGAACCCTTTTGCAAAGTTTGTGTTTACCCCTCTAACATCTCCCTTGGGGACCTCTATTCTCTCTTTACATCTCCATCTCTGTCTACCTGAATTTTAGCTGGCTGTTATATAATGCATACCAAGAAATGATAGGTTACAGCAGTTGAATTATAGAATTTTAGAAATGAAAGGGAACCTATGGTACTCATATGGGTAGTATCTCTCCTCAAGAAGTAACTTAGAAATGTGTGAAAATGTTTTTGGTTGTTCTGATCACTGAAAGAGGGCATGATAAGAGGACACCAAGAATGCTAGATATTCTGTAATGTGAAGGGTAGTTTTGCTAAAAATTGTCCTGCCCCAAGCACCAATAGCATACTTGTTGAGGCACACCTCTGTGTTTGCCTCTTTAGATGAGAGAAATCAGAGCCAAGGAGACAAGTGACTTGTTCAAGGTCACACAGTGGGTCAGACTGAGCTAGAACTGCACCCCACATGCCAGGTTAACACTATTTCTATCAATCATTCTAAGGTTCAAAGACCAAAAAGTGTTAGACAAAAGTAAATCATTTCTATTGGTAGGATATTTGGAACCTTGATAGAAAAGGCAGAAGAAATATTTTGCATATGGCGGTCTGCACAACTCCTATTAAAGTGTAGTGATATAAGCAACTATTTCCTCTGGGCTTATACATTCAGCCCCGTGTAGAAGGAGACCAAATAAATGTATATACATAACTCTGGCTTTCAACACCTCAAATCTTCTATGAAATGAAATATGAAAAGTGGAGAGAAAAATAGAAAGAAGATATACTTAGAATGAGTTCTGGTTTTGTGGTTTAAAAATAAAAATATATTAAAATAGTTTTAAATATAAATTTTCAGACACAATATTACATACTATCCCCACATAAAAGCTTTTCATTCTACATTTGCTTTCTAGAAAAAGCTTACTAAAAATGTGTTAAAAATAATTTTCTAAGCCAATTCAAAGGATACCTATTCAAAGTCATATAATGCATTTTTCTACATACTTTGTTTTGTTTAGAAAATATAGTTAATTGGCTCTACAGTTTTTAGAAGTTAACATGCATGGTGTTTGAATCCTTTATATTCACAGTTATATTGATTATATTGATATAAAGAAGACAAAAGCAGACGAGAAGTAACTCAATCTAATGTCTTAATAAAAAACCAGCCAGAATGTATGCGGAGCATTATCTCTCTTCTAGGCAACTGGAAAAGGAGATTGGCCAAGTGGAGCACACACTGGGGATGGCCACCCAAATGGTCAAAGGATAGAAAGCCACCCAGTCACTTGAAGGAACAAGGAACATTTAGCCTCGATAAATGAAGCTGCCAAGTGGGACAAAGTAACTGGCCTTCACTGTTTGAAAGGTATTGCAGTGGTTGAACATTTTTGTTGTTGTTGTAGAAATCTTCAAACATACAAAGAATAAAAAGAATAATATAAGCAACTCCACAGATCCATCACTGAAGTACACTATTAGCAATATTTCAGCTAATTTCAATTTTCTGAACCCCCACTCTCTTCATCTTGATTATTCTGAAGCCAATCTCAGACAGTATGTCATTTCCTTCTAGAACTCTTCATTATGTATTTTGTAGAGAATTTATAAAAAATTGTAGTAGAACTCTAGTTACTGGGTAGAAAATAGAACAGATTTCAATTAAGTATAAGAAATAATTCTAACAGACATATCAACTATAGAGTGGATTGCCCTGGGAAGTAGCAAGTTTTTTTTAAAATTTTGTTTTATTGCTTAAAATATTACAAAGAATATTATATATGTCTCCTTTTTCCCCCTTTCTTGACATTCCCCCCGCTTCCCCTATCCCCCAGTGTCTTATATCCATTGGTTATGTTTATATGCATGCATACAAATCCTTCGGTTGATCTCTTACTCCCCCCAATCCTCTCCAGCCTTCCCGCTGTAGTTTGATAGTCTGTTCCATGCTGCTCTGCTCTGTATCTATTTTTGTTCATCAGTTTATAATGGTGTTAATTATCCATAAATGAGTGAGATCATGTTGTATTTTTCTTTCATTGATTGGCTTATTTCACTTAGCATACTGCTCTCCAGTTCCATCCATGCTCTGGCAAATGATAAAGATTCCTTTTTTACAGCAGCGTAGTATTCCATTGTGTAGATATACTACAGTTTTCTAATCCATTCATCTGATGATGGGCACTTAGGCTGTTTCCAGATCTTTGCTATAATAAATTGTGCTGCTATGAACATAGGGATGCATATATCCTTTCTGATTGGTGTTTCTGGAAAGATTATTATTAAAGAGACTCGAGGCCCAGTGCATGAAATTGTAAGAGTCCCAGACCCGCTGAACTGGTGGGTTGTGGGACCCCAGACCCACCATGTGTGAGTAGCTCACCGCCCGAGCTCCGCCTCGCCGTGCAAGCTGCGAGCCCCTCTGCACCCCGCACGTTGTCAGCCCCACCTCACTGCATGAGCCATGAGCCCCACCCTGCTGTGCTGCGTGAGCTGTGAGCCCCACCCCACTGCCACGAGTAGCTTGTGGGCTGAGGGGAGGGACCGAGAGGTGCTCCATGGACCTCCTGGTGACCGGTCGTTTGGTCATTACGCTTTATGGCGTTACAGCCACTGGCCTTTTATAATATAGATATTTAAGTCAAGCCTGGATAATCTACTTTTCAGGGGTATAATAGTGGAATTCAATCACTGGACTGATGATTTAACTTAATCCATGGTTCTCATATTTTTTTTCCATAGAGAAACATAAGACAGATGACACTGAACTGCTCTGCACACACTCATATATGGTTTCCTGGAAGCCAGAGCAATTTCTTATATTTATCTCCCCGACCCTGCCACCAAGAGAGTACATTAAAATGCAAGTAAAGTGAGAGGTTGTTACTATAGAGACAGCTTAAATTTGTTTTAATTTATTAGAAATGAAAATCAAATCCTTCACAAATTCTGATATTTTTAACAGAAACAAATTATTAGGACCCACTCCACAATGACCCTTGACATCCAGTGGGTCCAAAGCTCTGAGAGTGAGAACCACTGGAGCAGCTGACCGTTAAGGCCCATTCTAACTATGATTCTGTGAGTAGAGCATATCCAATTTCTGCTCACATAGGAGTTACTCACATGGAGAAGTTGGAAATGAAGGCTCCTTTGGGAATCTGAACATCAAACACAACATCCTGAGGCTGTGGGGAGTTGTTCACCACTTTGGTCTGAATCATGGTGTTGGCCATACGAGAAGTAATAGTGGACTGGACTTTGTAGCTATAAAGAGTTACTTGATCAACATCTTCCTGTTGACAAGAAAGCATAGCTATACTCAGAAAATGATTACACAGAACCTCACTATGTATTTGATGCTAAGAGTAGTACATCTTATTATGAACAAGTCTAAGGCATTATTAAGTGTATATCTCAGGTGGGTATTATCAAGCACTCTCCTAACTTGAAATACCCACCCCCCTCCCCACCCCAGGCAGAAGTTTGCCTTTATTTTGAGATATCTTGACATGCCTTTCAGGTTTAAATGTCTATTAATAATGATTTTTAAAGGTAGAACACAAGTAGAAAATGGTTGTGGGAAGCAAGATTGGATTGGAAAAGCCCTAGAAATAACTTCAAATGCAGGGCCATAGTGAGAGAAAGGATACAGCATTGCAGGGTTGGAAGGGGAACCTGGCTGCACCTCCAGAGTGGGGTGCAGCCAGGGTTATGGTGAAGTGGAAGACACACATGGTCTCCATACTGCTGTCTATCGTCTTTGATTTTATGTATTACAATTTAATCTCCTCCCAGTCTTCTTCTCCTTCCCCAAAGAAAGACACTGATAGGTGAGAACACTGGTAAGCACTCTGGATCCCCTTTGCCAGTCTTTCTCTACTCAATTAAGGCAGCCCCAGGCTAAAGGCTAGAGTTTATGAGCATGCTCAAGGCAAGGGATTACAAACACATCGTTTTTTGGAGGTGCCTGAGAATTGCAAGCTGCTTCAGGACTATGGCAATGTAGCCCCATTAGATATTGCTTTTTTTCTTCAAAAGGATTTATTTATTTCAATACTAGGTGTCATCCCTCAAGCTTTCTCATTCAAGATGAAACCTTTCAACTCAACATCCAGCTAAGATAAAACCCAGGCTGTTATTTGTCCTTGCTACTCCTTAAACCTGTGCTTTTCACAATTTCTGTCAGTTCAGAGCAGGAAGCCAACACAAACCACTTCCTTTTGATACTTTCTTGCCATGGGAAACACGACCTTGAACATCTCAGGGAATCGAGTAGTTTCATTTTTAAGAGTTCCTTTCCCACATTCTTTTACCTCCAGAGCTGTGAGATGTCATATTTGAAATCAAAACTGTTAAGCTGGAATAAATATATATGCTTGGATGAAATCTATGTTGGCAAAACTTAAGAAAATAAAGAGAAAGGGCATTTTCAACTCTTGGTAACACCTCCTCTGGTTGCTTGTACATGGTTCTCTTTCATGCTGAGTTTTAGACACACTTCCAAACAGAATTGGGCAAGAGGGTATTTCGAAAGTCAGGTAAATGCTCTCGGTGATGGAGACAAAGGAGGTAACCATGCTGATTTCTAGATAATAGGTAACAGAAAAATCATTCAGGTATCAATATTTAACAAAATCAAAGTAAACTTACCATGGCTTCTCCAGATTCTCCAGAAACACTTCTCTGTGGAAGGAAGTTAGATAATCATTCTTCAAAAGTGTGTTACTTATTACCTTGAGGGCAAAAACTGCTTTCTCTCAGTTAAAAAAAAAAGTGTTTCCCCCCGCCCCCGGCCCCTGCAATCCTGAGCTATAATCTATTCATTGGAGCCAAGACATAAATATCAAACGTTCTGGGATACTATTTCACACTGGTGTGTTTCTCTGAACAAATTTCTCAGCCCCCTTTGGGTTGCATGCCCATCACTGTTTATATAATGCTAAAACGAATGTTTCTAAATGAAAATATCCAACCAAACTCATGCTGAGTAGCATATTTCACCTTCAACCTTTTGCATGATTGATTTTTTATTCAATTGGATGGTTGTTGGGTGCTTTTTTTTCTACCATGGGGCTCTGGACATGCCATCCCATTGTCTGCAATGCTCCCCCTTCCTGGTCACCTCTGTCCCTTCCCTCAATGTCACCACCCCTATTCCTCCTTCAGATCTCAGCTCAGGCAGAATTTTCTCAGTGAAGTTCTCTCTGACCCTCTCTCATCCCCAGACCAGGTAAGCTTCCTTTACTAAGCATTTCATAGCAGCATAGCCCTTCTTCAAAGGAAGATAGTGGGAATATGTGTCTGTCTCCTCCATTAGACTAAGCTCCATGGGAGTTGGGATTTTGATGTGTTTCCTCCTTGGTGGAGCTAAGCCTGGTGACTGGCGTGTGGAATCTCTGTACCCTAACTGCTCTGCTAGGGAATTATCCACAGGAAAGATTGTCCTGTGGGCATGGAAAGCTGAGTGCCTTTAGAGTGATGGATGAATATTTCATGTCTGGTGAAGTTTAAAATAATAATCCAGGTGTTGGATATAAGTTTAGCTTGTTGCCTGATTTGGGGTGAACTGAGGTTTTAAGAGGTATTACATGACATAATGAGTCAACAGTTGCCTCCTTTTAGACTTTTCAAGTGAAATTTTCAATGACTACGTTTTCTCTCTTGTGGGTAGATGAAGACCCTGACATGAGGGCTTGCCTATTGGGTTTTAATATTATTGGTCTACAAAAAACCTGGACTTCTGGAAAGTCAAAAATTCATACCCATGCCGAAACCGGTTTGGCTCAGTGGATAGAGCGTCGGCTTGCGGACTGCAAGGTCCCAGGTTCGATTCCGGTCAAGGGCATGTACCTTGGTTGCGGGCACATCCCCAGTGGGGAGTGTGCAGGAGGCAGCTGGTCGATGTTTCTCTCTCATCGATGTTTCTAACTCTCTATCTCTCTCCTTTCCTCTCTGTAAAAAACTCAATAAAATATATTAAAAAAAAAATTCATACCCAAACAAAATAAGTCACCAGTCAGCTTAGCATTGTTTCCATAAATACTTTTCTCAGCATGTAGGCTCTTTGGGGAAAAAGCCAAACCCTTCCTGGCTCCTGGAGAACTCACCCCCACGAATGAGAACATCTTGTTTAAGCTGCCTCTAGAGTGCAGGCCGCAGTGTGGCCAGTTCTCTGAGCCACTCCCATGCTCCCTGAGCTACACCCCAAGAGACCAGTGACCAGAGGAAAGAGAATGTGTGGCCTGCCACCACTGGGATGGGAAATACCCCCCTATGAAGAAGTTCTTCCTTATCAGGCAGTAAAATCATCCCATAATCTTCAAGTTTAAAGAAAACACATAGATGTATATCTTTCAAGGGACTAAGGTGGCCATTAGTCCCTTGGGGGCTCAGGGACAGCTGCATAGAAGTCTCTGTTGATTTTTACCTTGAAAATGCTTCCACTTGCCTATAAAACCACCGGGCTCCTTTCTGCTTAAAAATCCCATGAGCTCTCGAGAACATCTAGCAAAAAGTATCTTAATCCTTCTCCTACTTCTTCAATCATGGTCTCTTTTACTTATTTTCCCCTTTTGGAACTTAAGGCTTACTGTACCTGATGCCTCCGGTTCTCGGGCACAAATTGAAATCTGCCTGGAGCTAGTTCCACAAGATCTTCATATTCTGCAAACTTAAAAAAAAGTTTAAGATGTTTATTTATATTAATGAAAACAATTATTAATTTTTTATTAATAGAGCAAAATAAGCAGGTGGTGACAGACATAAAAGTATTCATTATATTATTTTATCTTAATTCCTATACCTCTGGGCAGTCTCACATTTTTACATGAATATTTCTTTAATATATTTATGTTTGCTAGTTATTAAGTGGAAGAAATTAATTTATGAGTTTGCCTAAAGATGATGTGACATAAGGTAGGAGTAAAAGTAACCCACAGTTCAGGTGCGTGTCTGGGGGAAGTAGTGGGTAGATCTTGGCATCAACAGTGTCTGCCTGGATAGATGTGAACCATTATCCACTGGATTAAGAATGTTGATATAAAAGTAATACCAGTAAGATGTGATAGAAAAAACACAAACAAATGTGGATGTGTTGGCTTTAATTCTGGTGGTTTTCAGTACACTCCAGTGTTTTTTAAAGTGTTGGGAAATATGGAAGTTTCTAAGCAGACAGAGTGATCCCTCCTCTCCCCGAAAATAGGCTATCCTGTTTTTTGGCATTTTTTGTAGACAATCCACTCTGCAAGTATTACAGTCTGCGGCATCTCCCAGGATATTCCCATAATACATGCTGCTTTCTGACATCAAAATAGCTTTTGTATGACTTTCAAAATGACTCAGTCCAAGGTTTTTCTTGTGTAGGGATGGCCAAAGGACCAAAGTGAAAGACCTTGAGCTCTGGGAATAATTCCTGCACTCCACCAGCCCACTTGCCACCTTCCCCTTTAACAGGAATATTTGACATGCTCTTATCACAGAAATCATTGTCCACTTAGGTATGAAAAACAATAATGCTTTGATAATGACTTTTATTATTCTCTGTATGAGTGATAATGACATGTCATCATCAACATCATCATCATAGCTAATAATTATTAGGTGCTTTCTGGTGTTTGCCCTGGGCTAGATAATTTACATGCCATTTAATTCTCAAACATCTTTTGAGGTGGGTCAATTATTATTCCATTTTTTTTTAGATAAGAAGCGGGCAGCTGTACTCCATAAATGTTACATGATGGGGCCAGCACATTGAACTTGACTTCATTCATCTCATTTGAAACTGTTAATGGTTTAAAAAGTAAGTACATAGTCCAGTAATTATAACAGTGAATACTTCTACTCAGATGAGTTTATCATAAATTTCCTTCCCACCCCGAAGACAGTCCTTGAAGAGCAACAGAACAGGCTATTTCCTGAGGATCTGTATAGACAAGAGCAAGGAGGCTTCTGCAAGTACTTACTTCTGGGAGTCCATTGTTGGGGATTTCGAAGGCTTGTGCCTCGGAAAGAAAGAACCAGACGAGAAAGCTCGTGAACCATTGCATCTTGCTGGGCAGCTTGGCCAAGGGCTCCAGTGCAGGGTCTGGGGAGAATTCCCCTCTCACCCAACCGAGTTCAAAGGAACAGCACAGGACAGTTCAATTTTAAAAAGTAGAAAAAAGAGGAAGAAAGCTCTCAAACTTTGTTCAAACATGGGACAAATATTTGTTCTGGAGTTCAAACTCGAGCTGAGGGGGTGGGTTGGACACCCAGAGGTTATTCAAACAGCAAGGCCAGAGGCAGTCCCTGGGCTGTGAGAACCCTTCAGGCTCCATGACGTGCTGCCTCCACTTCTGCTTCTTCTTTTTTCGCCTCTGCGGATGTTTGCTCCTCTTAAAATCAGAGAGGCCTAAAGATGAGTGCCATCCTCCTTGAAGGACCAAGAGAGGAACTGTAGTGAGAAACAGAGGCAGAGAGAGAAAAAAAAAAGCTAAGTGAAGTTTCTGGAAACAAAATCCTTTGATTTAAATGAAAGAAGGAGGAATTTAGTAAAAATGGGAGACAAAACTGAATGCTTTTCTGAGCAACGCATTCCTGGTCAGTGTTTTCTCTCTCTTTGGTAACTGAGTACCTATCACACGCGGAGAACTGGGCGGGCAGCGGTGCCGGATACAAAGGCTGCTCTTCAGTGAGGACGCTTCATGGGAGTGTGATGAAGAGAGCGGGGCCCTTCCCACTGCCCTGCTCAGCTTTTGCTCAAGTCCGTGGCAAGTCAGTCCTCCGCAGTCCCAGAATCCGGGGAAGCCCAGCCTGGAAGCAGAGTGTAGTATTCCTTCCCATTCACAGTCTGGATAGAATAATAAAGTCAAGTAGGGTCTACTGAGCCCTGCCTGGTGCCAGGCACTTTTACTTTCATGATCTTTAAATTTTTTTTTAATCTATGAAAGAGTCATGTGACGTGTGTGCTGTATTTATCCTCATTTACAATTGAGGAAAAGAAGGTTAAATAATTTATTCCACATCTCACAGTTGGTAAGTAGAGACAAGGATCAAGGTCGGCCTGACCCCAAAGCCTTTGCTCTTCAGGACTGAGTCCAAGGGAAGCAACCTGCCGCCCATCATTGGGATCCAATGTCCCAGGTATGAATTTAGACTAGAATTTACCTGTAGTCCCCAACATAGTCTCCTTGATGAGCCCGTTTCTTGAGCCTCTCCTGCAGACATCTGCTTCAACAAGGCCCGTGCTGTGCACCCGAGTTGGGAGAGGCTCCCGCCACTGCCGCTGCATTCACCAGCTGTGAGCCCAGCTTCTGGCTGAGCAGCACTCCCCCTGTGGGAGAGCACTGACCACCAGGGGGCAGCTCCTGCATTGAGCGTCTGCCCCCTGGTGGTCAGTGTGTGTCATAGTGACCAGTTTTTCTGCCATTTGGTCTATTTGCATATTAGCCTTTTATTATATAGGATATTTTGAATGACCTCAGAACAACCAAACTGAGGGCAGCCTGGATCAGTCTTCTCTTTTCATGCCGATAGCCTATCTCCAAATTCCAAGGTCTTGGACAGAATGCCATGTTTGATCTCTTAATGTTTAGAACAGTGGTTCTCAACCTTCCTAATGCCACGACCCTTTAATACAGTTCCTCATGTTGTGATGACCCCCAACCATAAAATTATTTTCGTTGCTACTTCATAACTGTAATTTTGCTACTGTTATAAATCATAATGTAAATATCTGATATGCAGGATAGATTTTCATTGTTATAAATTGAACATAATTAAAGCATAGTGATTAATCACAGAAACAATATGTAATTATATATGTGTTTTCTGATGGTCTTAGGTGACCCCTGTGAAAGGGTCTTTTGACCTCCAAAGGGGTCGCGGCCCACAGGTTGAGAACCGCTGGTTTAGAAACTTCATGGCTCCCTACCAGTGTAGGTGTGTATTCAGGTCACTGGGTCCTCAATGTGGGACTCTCCCACCCCATCTCGGCCTGGGCAACTGTAATCCAATGAATTAAAAGTATCCACTGTTACTTAAACTCTCCTTATTTATAGGATGGCAATCACTACTGCAAATGCCATAATAATATCCACTTTCATGTGTTAGAAAATTGATAAGAAATTTAAGATAATTTTTTTTACTATATTTCATAATGTTTAAGCAAAACAGTAACTCATTTAGTACTCAATGAGAATTCTAAGGAATATCAATAAACTTGAGGTTCATGACTCAGTATGTCACTGTGGCTTAGCTAACAGTGTGGCAATAGCCATCAGAGACTTATAAAATTCAGTTCTAGTTCAATCATTGTGCAAGTATAGTTTTAAAAGTCCAATGTCAAAGGTGAACTAATGTACAAATAGCTGTATCTGATCCTCTGCTTCTTGTTCATTAGTTCAGATGAGACATAATCTGGAGAATGTCAGTTTTCAATACATATTTGAATTCTGATAGCTTCCTCTCATAGTGAAGTTAAGACATTTTGCTTTAGATTTTTAAAGGATTATTTGTTTTAATTTTTCAAGAGGATATTCTATTATTCTGCTAAATCCTTTTTCTTCCCTCTTAGGCACAGGTGGGGGTTAATGTAATTTGGGGCCAGACATAAAGAAATTTCAAAAGAAAAATGTTAAAAATTGGATGGATGTATTACAAGTCAAAAATACAAAGTTAGAAAGTGTGGGTTTAAAACAACAGACATTTTGCCTGATTCTTGGACATACTACTTATTGTCCTCACTCAGAGGTCCAGGCTCAGAGAAGCAAGAGAAAAAATGGAGAGGAATACATTGCTTCTACCTGGAAGTGACACGTGTCATTTCCATTCATAGGTCTACGGTCAGACTAAGGCACATGGCTATGCTTAATTTCAAGGGCAGGAGGTGGGGGAAAAGAAATTGCAATCTTTTCCTATGCTGGATAGGATAGAGAATTTGGATTTTGGTATAGAGTAATGTCTACCACTGATGGAAAGCTGGAACTGAGAAATGAATGTTAACAAGAATTAGCTCCAGAATTATATATATTTATTTATTTCAGAATATATATATTTATTGATTTCAGAGAGGAAGGGAAAGGGAGAAAGAGATGAAAACATCAATGAGAGAAAATCATTGATCGGCTGCCTCCTGCACACCCCCTACTGGGAATTGAGGTCATAACCCAGGCATGTGCCCTTACCTGGAATTGAACCATGACCTCCTGGTTCATGGGTGGATGCTCAACCATGGAGCAACACCAACCGGGCTAGAATTTTTGAAAATATCAGGGAGGCCCTTGAACTTCCCACTAAGCAGAGAATAGCACATTCAAACAACCTTTACCTAAACAGCAACGGTGAATAACTGACAAAGGGTGGCTGCAATCACAAATTTTCACTTTCTATAAGACCTTGCACTCCCTCTTCCTGAGCAATACTGACTTAGCCAGGAGCCCCTTCAACATATTGTGAAAGAAATAGACCTTTGGGATCAACTGATTAGGAGACTGATCTCTTCGCGGAAACACTGGGAGTGTTTTCAGTCGGAAGCTGCTGTGTGAAATCAGGAAAAGGGGACAACAATCCGGGAGAAGCTGTGTGAATAAAACAATCTGGGAGAAGCTGTGTGAATAAAACAATCTGGGAGAAGCTGTGTGAATAAAACAATCTGGGAGAAGCTGAAAGAAGGTTTTTAGAGCCACAGTTTATGGGGGAGAGAGAGCCCAGTTTTATTCCACGTTTCTGCTTTTATTTTGTATTAGTCTATTCGAAGTGGCATTTGCATGAGATGAATATAAAATTCACTTGAGATGTTTTTCAAAACGTGTCCCCACTAGATGGCGAAAGGTGCTCACCAATTTTGAACTGATCTCAAGGACCCGTGCAAAGTAGGGGATGAAGAACTTCAAAGCAAAATATTGATCACACAATTGGGGGTATGAACTTCTATAATAAGAAGCCTTATTATTGTGCATTAAATGATTTTCCTCAGGAATTAGCAGTGCTCTGAGTTTGTACTTTAGTTTCTACCACTTATCAGCTATGACCTTGAAAAGCTACTCAACCTCTTTGGAATTCTCACTAAATGAAAAATAAATATAGAAGCTGGCCACTGTTCATTGGGTATTTTGTTGTATGCAGACGGACACATTCTATTCAGTAAAATCATTATTCTGTGAGGCTGTTTTGGATGAGATCAACATGTACTGGTAAATTCGCAGACTTTGAGTAAAGCAAATTGCCCTCCCTAACGTGGGTGGGCCTCATCCAATCAATTGAGGCCTGAATAAAACAAAAGACTCACCCTCCTTCCAACTGAGAGAGAGTTCTGGACTCAAACTGCAACTGTTCCCTGAGTCTCACCTTGCAGATTTTGGACTCACGAAGTCTCCACAAGCACGTGAGCCAATTCCTTAAAATAAGTCTCTCTCTTACGTGTACAACTCCTCTTTCTCTGGAGAACCCTGACTAAGACAGGTGTCCTGTGAGTGGGGCTGATTTTTTCTCTCTCCTGAACAGACTGCTGGGACATGTTCTCTGGTGGAGGAATCTCCAACTGCAAATCCCTCAGCAGTGGCCATGTCTGTTCTGCAGTTGCTCAGAGTGTCTCCCTCAGCCACTGGCTTCTTGTTATCTACTCCCCTCTGCTGGTGTCATGTTGAGTGTCTCCTTGAAGTCCTCATGCGCGGAAACCAGGTGACCCAATTGCGTCTCACCACACACCGCGGGCAATGTGCAGTTCACTCCTCAGATTGCCTTTCCCCCTCACAGATGGCTCAGCCAGCCTCGTAGGAAGGGGAGACACCAGAGTGCGCCAGACAGCCTTTTCCAAAGGGGTCCCTTACCTCAGTCGTTCCAGCATCAGCTTTTGAGGAAGGTGATGGGTGAAGGGGCACAAAACTGGCTTGAGGATACATCTGTTCAAGACCTGCATGGAGAGTAAGGATAGCACTCATTTTACAATGTGGCATGATCTTTGAAAGAGTCCCTGTATAATGTATTTCTCTTTCCTCTCTCCTCAGATGTGCAAGGCTTTAGAGAGGGGAACCAAGTAAATATTCAGAGGGTGTGGTAGGCTGAATAACAGCCCCACAAGATTCCTACGCCCTGGTCCCCATAACCTGTGAATATGCTACTTTACAGGGCAAGGGGATTTTGTACATGTGATTAAGGATTTTTAAGGTGAAGAAACTATTCTGGATTATGTGGGTGGGCCCCATGTAATCAGGAGGATCCCTGT